ACACTGGTGCTTCCCCTCCACCCCCCAGGCTGAGACGGGTGTTTGGAGTTCACCGTCCACCAGCACACCACGGACCCCAAGTGCCCGGCCCGAGCCTAGCACGCGGTCAGGGAGACTGTGAGTCAGACAGGACTGAGACTTAAAACCACCGGACGAGCCGAATGCTCGGTAACTAACACGAGACTATCTTAATAACAGAAAATGGTCAAAAAGCTATTAAATGGCACTGAAATGTCCTTAAGGGAGCCTGCTACTCAGCAGAAAAGTTGAATTTGGCAAAACATATTGGTATATTAAAAAGAGAATCTGTTTCATGTCTATATTTCATAAATTGAGCCTCCTCAATCAAATTGCATAGCCCAACAGCACTGAATATGTCGAAAAGGGCCCATTTTAATAAGAGCTGCAGCTGCTGAACACACTGAAGTATTGGGGGGTTTTGAAGAATTGCTCCCCAACATGATGCAGTTGGCCTTGAACCTTTCCTCCCCTTGGATTTGAGCCACTGGGGGCCCTGGACCACTGAGCAGCGCAGATGGGTTGGAGGCCTGGGCTTGTCTCCTGACTCCCTGGCTCCGGGGGTGTGGGGGTGGCAGGAGGCCGGGAGGGCAGGATCCACACCTGGTGTGGACAGCCTCACTCCTCCTGAGGTACAGGGGGACAGGAGGGCTCCCACCTAGGCCGAGATGGATCTGGCTCCAGAAACAGATTCTACAGAAGTGTCAGGATCACCCTCCCTCTGGTACTTAGGCCCTTTTTAGGGATGAGCAGCTGTGCAGAGAATTAGTTCTTTTGCAGAACAAAATCCTTCAAGGAGACTAATTGTTTTTATAATAGGACTTTCACAGGAAGGGAAAAAAAAAAACCCTCTCTCATGAAAGCAAATGGATTCTCTGCTCAGAATGCACATCTTCTGCCCAGCAGGTACTAAAATGCAGATGGTGTTTTTACATTCCCAACTGGGGATTTAATGAGGAAGGAAGGGGCCTAGCTCTCAAACACTGGCGATGCATTTTCTCTTTTCTTTGAGATTCACTTGGGGGGTGGAGGGCATATATTTTAAATAAAAGGTAAAGGATTCAAGACGCAGATGGAATTTAAATCAAGAATTAAAAAAAAAACACACACACAAAAAAAACGGTGGGGGGACCTCCACTGTTGTTCCTAAGCTGGCAACATTTTAAGAACCAAGCCTGTTGCCCGCAAGGTGCTAATTCCAAATGATTTCAGGAACATTGAGAAGGTTTCCGTACCAGTGAGGACTAAACGTGGCTGCAAACAGAAACCAGACCACAGCAGCGTAACCAAAAAGGGACCTGCTTTTCACTTGTAACCAAAAGTCCGGTGTGGGCAGTTCAGAGATGGTGCAGCCACCCAAGGTAGCCACTGTGGACCCAGGTCTCCTCTGGCATCCAGATCCCACTTCCTTAGCAAGGAGCAACCCTGCCCAGGGTGGCAGGATGGCTTCTCCTCTGGGAATCGCCACCCCCCCCCCCAAATGCAGGCAGGAAGCAGGACAACAGGCAAGGTGCACAAACAATGGGCCACCACCCAGTAATCACACTCCTTGGTGTTCACCCAAATGAGTTGAAAACTTATGTCCACACACAAACGTGCACACAGATGTTTACAGCAGCTTCGTTCATAGCTGCCAAATCTTGGAAGCAACTGAGATGCCCGCCAGTAGGTAAATGGATAAATAAATCTCGGTACCTCCAGACTACGGAATATTATTCTGCGCTAAAAAGAAATGGGATGTTAAGCCATGAAAAGGTGAAGGAAATGTAAATATTACTAAGTGAGAAAAAAAGCCAATCTGAAAAGGCTATGATTCCAACTATGTGATATTTTGGAAAAGGCAAACAGTGGAGACAGCAGCGAGATCAGTAGTTACCAGGGGTTGTGGGAGCGAGGGATGGGCAGGAGGAGCTCAGAGCGTGCTGAGGGCAGTGAGCTGTTCTGTACGATTCCACAGTGGTGGACACATGTCGTTACATGTCAGTCAAAGCCCACAGAAGGTCCGACACTAAGACGGAACCCTAATGCAAACTGTGGACTGTGGCTGATGATGATGTGTCAGCGCAGGCTCATTAATTGTGACAGGTGTACCATTCTGGGAGATGCTGATAGCCGGGAGTCTGTCATGTGTGGGGAGGGGTACATGGGGAGCTCTGTACCTTCTGCTCAATTTTGCTGTGAACCTAAGACTGCTCTAAAAAGTTTATTTTATTTTATTTTATTTATTTATTTTGAGACAGAGTCTTGCTCTGTTGTCCAGGCTAGAGTGCCGTGGCGTCAGCCTAGCTCACAGCAACCTCTCCTGCCTCAGCCTCCAGGGTAGCTGGGACTATAGGCGTGTGCCACCATGCCTGGCTAATATATATATATATATATATATATATATATATTTAGTTGTCCAGCTAATTTCTGTCTATTTTTTTAGTAGAGGCAGGGTCTCACTCTTGCTCAGGCTGGTCTTGAACTCCTGAGCTCAAACGATCCGCCTGCCTTGGCCCCCCAGAGTGCTAGGATTATAGACATGACCCACCACACCCCGCCTAAAAACTAAATATTTTTTAAAAAAGTGAGTGGCCGGATGAGTCTGCCCCTTTTAGTCAACTGGCAGTGGCTCGTTGACCGCCTGCCTGCAGTCAACAAAAGACTAGCTTCCCCAGAATCCCCCCGAGTTGACTTTTGCTTATATCCCAACAGCCAAAACTGGGTCACATGACCACCTGGGCTCCAAGGGAGTGACTTATTTTTAAATAGTACACTCCTGTCCCCCTCCCACCAAACTTCCCAGTATCTCTGGGAAGGAGCATATAAGCATCATTGGTCACTTAGACCTCAGGATGAGTAAACTTGCCACATATTTTCAGAGCTCAGTTTTCCTCCGGGTCCAATTGCCCAGAAGTCCCCCCACCTGGAATCCGGGACCCATGAGCCTCTCTCTGTGGCTGCAGGAGATGATGCTTCCTGGTCAGGAGATGCAAAGCCAAATCCAGTGTCACTGTGCCCTAGGCGGGCACAACAGGCCAGCTCACACAGTGCCCCTGTGGGGGACATTTGTTATGAATGTGGCTATCTAGATCCCTCAGTAACCCCTTCCCACAATATTTATCCTGTTTCCCCAAGGGGGAAGGCAGAACTCGTTTCCTCAGTCTTCCCTGGAAGCCAGGTCACAGGCACGTGACAAAGGCACCAACAAAGAGATGTGGCTACATCAGAGCAATGGGAGATGGTACCTTGTGGACTCCACTTTCTTTTCAGGGCTGCAAGGTTGTCTCCGAAAAGCAGCAGCTGAGGGCTGGAGTCTGGGGATGGCTGCTGGCTGCACAGCCCCAAGCAGACCCTTCGGCCCTTCCAGAGAGTCCATGATCTGAATACTTTCTTTTGCAAATACTTGCTGCTTAAACAGCCACAGTGGGTCCTGTTGTTTGTAATTCATACCTACCTACCTGGCACAATCTTACAAGCTTACCTCCTTAGGCCACTGTCCAAAATGCAGACCCCTTTGGACATCTGTCCTCTTCCACGCTCTCATGGTCACAATGCTCTGCGCATTCTCTCCTTGTCCCATTGTTATGGGACTGAACTTGGGTTTGCTTGCGCAGCACGCAGAAAAAGTCAAACAGCGACACTGGAATTTGCAGCAAAAGAAAGTGAGACATTTATTGCATGGCGCCAAGCAAGGAGCATGGGCCACTAACGCTTAACACTTGAACTCCCCAATGACTTACAAGCAAGAGTTTTTAAAGGCAACGGTACATTTCAGGAAAGCACAAGTTGTAGGCAAAATCATAAATCAACACATGGAGGTTATACATTGGTTTGGCCCAAAGAGGCAGGCTGTCTGGAAGGGAGGCTTACAGGTCACAGGTGGATCCAGAGATTTTTTGATTTGCAACTGGTTCAGGAAGCAAGGCTTTCACTAAAAACTTGGGGTCAGCAGAGAGGAAGGTTAAGGTTTGGCCTGTGGGCAGGACTCTCTCCAGGCCCCTCAGGAAGAGATGTAGACCGAGGACCGATGGTCAGAGTTCAGTTCTCAGTTCCCCCTTCTCTGAGGTCTACGTGACAGCAGTCATGGCGTTTTCCATCTAGTGGGGGGGGTCTGGGTTTCTGAAAAACAACTCAATAGCATATGGTAAGATGGTACATTTTAGTTTCTATAGGGAACCAAAACGCCTTGTGACTCCAACTTGCTTGGGGGGCTGCTGTTTAAGTTACTATCATTTTGCTTACTTATCAAGGCTAGTAGTGTGCGTGGAATTTCCCTCAAAGCTACTGAAGTTTTTTCCTTATTTCTGTGCTTGGGGTGCGGGCTGGCAGGCCCTGAGAGGCGTCCCTCACCATGGCCTTTCCTCCCTGCCCCACCTCTGCCCCAATCTCTAGGGAAACTCCACTCTTTGGTCAGGACGTTCCTGCACCTTCAGCCCTCTACCATCTGGCCAGAGTGGAATCCTTACCCCGCCCCGCCCCATGTGGGATGTGATCATTCTTCCCCGCCCTGAGCACCCGGAGGCCAGGCTGGGGAGGGTTGTGACCTCCACCCACGTCTCCTCTGCCTTGTGGATGGCTTCTGTGTCTTTCAGGGTCAAAGCATCTGGTCCTGTCTTTTTATCATCACATCTTGATGTCCCGATTCATGGAGATGGCCTCTGATCTGAACTCCAGGCCCGTCTATTCCCTGACTGCTTATTTGACCCTTACATGGGCTGCCCTGGGCAGCTGACCACTTTTTTTTTTTTTTTTGAGACAGAGTCTCACTTTTGTTGCCCAGGCTAGAGTGAGTGCCGTGGTGTCAGCCTAGCTCACAGCAACCTCAAACTGCTGGGCTCAAGCGATCCTCCTGCCTCAGCCTCCCGAGTAGCTGGGACTACAGGCATGCACCACCATGCCCGGCTAATTTTTTGTATATATACTTTTAGTTGGTCAATTAATTTCTTTCTATTTTTAGTAGAGACGGGGTCTCGCTCAGGCTGGTTTCGAACTCCCGACCTTGAGCAATCCGCCCGCCTCGGCTTCCCAGAGTGCTAGGATTACAGGCGTGAGCCACCACGCCCGGCGACCACTTTCTTTTTATCCTCAGATTCCACACCTCCAAGGACCAGCTCTTGGACCATGTTTCCTCATGGTTGAGATTCTTGACTCTAGTGCCATGTTCTGTGCATAGTAGGTCCTCAGGAAATGCTTGATGATAGTGGACTTAAATCTTTCTGTGTACCTTGTTTTTGCCCCACAGATTCCATGAGTCTCAAGAAAAACACTCCAAACTACATCTCCCAGAATCCCTTGCAACAAGGTGCAGCCATGTGACTTAATGGGAAGCATTTGCCCAGGACCTGAATGGAAAGTGAGCAACCTCAGCAGTGCGGGGTACACTGTGTGGTTATAGAGACTTCTGGCTTTTCCAGGGCAGTTTTAGTGGAGAATCTGATACCCAGTCCCAGGCATGACCAGGACCAGCCGTGGGTCAGAGCGGCAGTGGCATTTCTGCTAGAAACATCCCAAAGAGCAGTTTGGTTTCCCTCCTGGCTACCTGATTCCTGGTGGTGTGGCCTTTAGGCCTGGGTCTCTGCCCCTTCAGAGACTCCGGGATCCGTCCGGCATCCTTTCACAAATTTCTTTCTACATACAATTAGGAGACTAGGTTCTGTTGTTTACAGCAAAGAACGACTTCAAGCCAAATGGTGGGCAGACAGGACCGCATGGTGACTTAGAGCAAGGTCTTCGCAATCTGACAGATCTGGGCTTGAAACTTGACACAGCTAGTAATTAGCTGTATGCCATTGGACAGCGTATTCAATCTCACCAAGTCTCCCTTCTGTCGTGGATAAAATAAATATCCTAAAACCGATCATACTGGGTTATTCTGAGGATTAAAAAGAGAATGTTAGTAAAGCATTTAGCACAATGTCTGGCATATAGTTGACACTCAGTGAATGAAAGGGTAGCTATTCCAGTGAGGTGTGCGTACATTCCCTCCTTTAACCTATTAGATTATTTTAGAATTTTTCTGCCATAAACATACAAGATGAAGGGTTGGACATGGCTGGAGATAAAAACTCCTCCTTCTGTCTCCTGTAGAGATGGCTTTCTAACTCTTCCGTTCCATAGGACATTTGGAATCCTCTGTAATCCAGAAATGGGGTTAAACGCTGTCTCTCCCGAATGTGGGATGGCCTTTCAACACTGGACATTGGCTTTGACACTGGCTCTAATTAGGCTAATGCTATAGTAGCCCTGAAGATAGTAATTGGAATGGATCAGGGACACAGAATACAAACATTAGTGTCAGGCATGACTTCACCAAGGCTTTTGCAAATACATTATTTTATTCCGTTTAATATAAAAACAGCTTCCATTAACTCGTATGTCTGTGTTCCTTCATCACACATTTTCCCTCAGCGTTTAAATCTTCCCCCCGGCCTCCCTCACCATTTGGTGCAAATATCCTCTTGGGCTATTTCTGGTTCAGCCGTTGAGAACATGCTGGTTTCTGGTGCCCTGCTAGAGATCTGTGGCAGGGCAGCGCGTTGCCAAGTGCACGGGAGACATTTGCAATTCAGCAGGACTGTCTTAACTACGGTGCCATCTTTACACTGTCTAGAGGCGACGCGATGCAGGACGGAATCTCAGACAGGGTAATTAAACGAGCAGACGAAAATCCAGACAGGATTTTCGCGTTGCTTTGAAGACGCGATGTTGGGGATACAAAATCAAATACATCCCCAAACCGATTGTACTTAGCTGAGGAAAAGCTGGACAAACTGATGACTTGAGGGAGCTCTGCGACGAGCGCTGACCTGCACAAACGGCCTTCATCGAAGGCTGAACTCCACGTGTGGGGCCAGGGGCTCCTTTGTCTACGTGTTCCACTTTGTCTGCTGTGTGCGTTCTCGCCACAGCTGGACTCAGCTTCTTCCTTTCCTCCCGCCACTCCTCTCCCCACCCCCCCAACTCCAGATGAACGCCGTAACTTGCCAAATCCAGCAAGTTCATACTCATTTTGTTTTGAGAATGTTTGACATCCAGCGACCTAGTTAGAAATGTCACAGATCTGACTTTGATAAACTGTCTGATCTTGGCTGCATTGCGATTCCTTTCTGTGTCCAATTATCCTTATTTGTGACAAGAGTTTTAAAATACCCGTCCCCATGGCCCACATGGGGTAGTGTGGAGATATATATCCTTTCCCCTTTAAACCAAAGCAGGTTTTTTTTTTCCTCCACACAATGTAAAATAACCTAAAACACCAGAGCCAGCAAGGGAGACCAGGTCAAACCCTAAGCCACATGGCTGGCAGGACATAGCAGAGGAACCTGGCTTTAGGTAGAAATATCTGGAGGATGTGACGGACCCCCAGAAATATAATAATATTACTGTATGCATTTTTTAATATAGATTACTTGCATGTCATTGCTATACTGTGCGTTTTTGAGGCAATTGTGAAATTGGCCTGTGACTGTTGGTGTGCTTTGTTGTAAATTCAAAATCAAGCTTGTCCAACTTTATTTTCTTTAACCTATTGTTTTCAGAGCATCTATGTTGAATTAAAGTCTGTTACACCACTGCAAAAAAGACAATAAACCAAAGCAGGTACAAAGTGCTGTAAAGGTGCTGAAGGCACAGTGTTGAGGGAAGCCCTCCGAGAGATGCCCGGAACCCCGCCCAGCCTCACCCCTGCTCTCTGGGGACCACAGCGGTGAGGAGGGGCAGACAGGGGTGAGTTTCTTTGATTCCCATGTGGGAACTTCCTATTTCTTCCATCCTCCTTGCTGCCCTCTTTACCTCTCTACTTGTTTCTCTCTCCTCTTTCTTTCTGCTCAATCATCAAACTGGGGGTAGAATTCAGCTCCGGACTGCGAGTGAAGGCAGGAGAAAGAGAGGCTCAGTCCCATTTTTTCTTTCTCTCACCCCGAACTAGGAAGGTGAGGGGGCCCCCAAATCCCCTTGCCCAGGCTCCCCCCCACCCCTGATTGCAGAGGGAAGAAGTGAAGCTGGTATCCCTGTTGAATCACCAGTGTGACAAGGACACTTGTAGCCCTGAGGGACTATGTGGCCCTGAGTGCGATAACTGACCATGGGCAGGCCTGGAATTTTGTAACTTTGACTTTCATACTGGCAGATCTTCACACACGGGTCCTCCTGCCTGCCCTTCAAAGGCAGAGTTCAGACCCCCAAAGCAGTCACGCTCCTGCCTCCACCTGCGACAAGCAGGACTTTCCCATTTACAGGAAGACAATTTATAGTTTGCCAATGACCATAACCCAGTCAACAGGGAGAGTTTTATTAGAATCTGCTTAAGACTTTGGAAACCTGAGTTGTGTCCCAAACAACTCTGTGCTACCCCTACCGGATGTTTTCCACCAGACTCAAGTGCCGTCTCTGAGAAGAACAGGACTGTGACTTGTGCTTACAATGGAATATGTGAATACATAACTAAAATGCATTTTATTATCAAAATAATAAATTATAATAAAATAGGTTATACTGGATGTGCTGGTTTTATTATTCTCATTTTGGGGGAGCTTAAGAATTGTTCCTGCTTGGAAGGGCCTTCTCACATCTTATTCTTAAAATTTTACCTCCCTTCAAAGCCCGGCTCAGCTGTCACTTGCCCTGGCAGGAAGGAGTCCCCAGTCCTATAAGAATACAGTGCTCACGTTCCTTGTCACGCGCCTCACTCTCTCTTCTAGACACCTGTGCGTTGTTTTACTTCACCTGCTGTACGGTGAACTCCATGGGGGAAAGTTCACGTTATATACAGCGTCTCATGTTCTGATGCAACTTAACAACACTCAGTGTGTTTACTTAAAAGAAAGAATGAATGAACACATGATGACAGTCTATTGTTGGGTGGTTGTGTGATCTCAGGCAATTTCTTATCCTCTCTCTGCCTGTTTCCTTGCGTCTAAAGTGGTGATAACTACAACCTCCTACATTTAGGGTAGAATGAGATCATATAGTGATCTCACATAAAGTGCCTAGCAAAAGGCCTGCCACACCAAGTTCTCAATAAATGCTGGCTGTTTATTTAATCATTATTAACATGGAGAGTCTTTTTCAGTAGGTCCATTGAGGTAGGGTGGTTTCTCTGCTGACTGAGGGCACAGCGGTGAATGAAGGATAGATACGAGGAACAGTAGCCCATAAAAGCAAAGTAAGAGCAATAAAGCTGGAGTAATTTCAACCGGCAAAGTGATGCTGCAAGTTCCATACACAGTAACGGGCAGTTTCCAGAAAGGCCCCGTGTACTCTCCAGCATGCATTCAGCACATAAAAGCACAGCTCAACCTCACCGTAAATTTGATCTACAGCCAAGATCATTTTGTCCACTACCAAGTGAACGCACGTGGTGCTGGTCTCCCTGTGACGCTGAGTGGCTTTGGAGGGTATCTTGGATACTCTGCTCTTTTACAAGGACTTTCCGAGGAATGTTAAATTGATGCCTATTTCTCTCTGCATTCATTTTCCCACGGCGAGCAGAGGCCTTTGCGATCACTCTGCGACCCTCGGGCCAACAGCCAATGCGGGTTTGCTCGATATCCATTGATGAAGGCAGGAGGCAGAATCTCACTGGAGATTCTTTTTTTTTTTTTTCAAAATAAGAGCTGGGTCCAGGATTTCTCCCCTCATGTTCACCAACATTTCTGGTATCACCAAAGCTACTCCGTGTCTCTCTCCTCCGGCATCCTGAACTCCCACGAATTCTCCCAGACCGAGCACAGGCATTCGCCTCCTGGGCAAGCCTTCCCTAGGTCCCCCAGGTAGGGTTTGCTGTCCACCCTGGGGCGAGGCGGGATGCTTCCTACCTGTACTACTGCGGTCACTTAGTGCAGGGCACGTGCACGCGTAAAGGTTTGTTTCTACTGGAAGAGTACGAACCACTAAAAGGTATGGCTCTGCTTTTATGCTTCCATGTTGTAACAGCAGGATCTGGGGCGGTGGGATGGGGACAGTTGTGGGGCCTTCTGTGAGCCTGCTTGAGGCACATGCCTGTCCCACACAGACCAGGGTTCCACTCTTGTCGCCCCAGTGGCTGCCACCACGGACCAGCCAGCCCCTCCCTTGATCTGGAGCTGCACAAGCCAGTATTACGGTGTGATCCCCGGGGAAGGCATGGGAGCCCCAGTGAAGGCTGGGATGGAATTCCCTAGGGGCACAGCAGGTGGATGCTTTGGGAGGTAACATTTGATCCCTAGAAACAAAGGAATCTGATATACCATGTACTCTGGAGTTGTCCAAAAAATTATACAAATACCTGATCAACAGTCCTCATTCACGTAGGCATCCATTCATTCATCCCTTCCACAAATACCTCCTGAGCACCCGCTAGATGCCCGGCCCTGAAAGACAACGGTGTGTACATTAGACGCAGCCTCTGTTGTCGTGGAGAGGGTCATAGTCAGGGTGTCAGATCAAAAATAATGCAATATACAGATAGACGAGGGCTGTCTGGAAAGTATCCAGCATTGTTAATATGGTACGAGAACGGTACCTGGCTGGATACTTTGCAGACAGTAAAGGTACTCATAGGTACTTACAAATTACGGTTAGTATCATACAGAACATGAGGGTGCAGGCTGCGATGGAGAATGAGAGGAACGGAGGGAAGGGAACGCACGTGGGAGGGTGGAGACATGGATATGTAGCCAGGCAGACAGACAGATGGTCAATGTAGGGCTTTTAGGGGAGATGGCATTGTAGCTGAGTGGAAGGAATAAAAAGGGGCTATGGAAGCAGAGAGCGGGGCGAGGAGCACCCTGGCGGAGGGCACTGCACCCATAAAGGTCCTGCAGAGAGGCTGATGAACCGCGAGGGCTTCGGTGGGGCTGGAAGACAAAGGACAGGCGGGGCAGAGGCGAGGCTGGGTGGAGACGGCGGGGCGGGGCACGCAGGCCTCTGCAGCCTCGGGACAGAAAATTGGATTTTTAGTCCAAGGCCAATGGGAAGCCGTTGAAGGACTTTAAACAGGATCATGGTGTGGTCCAAGTCACAGATTCTGTCGCTTTCTCTTGTTCCTTTGTTTTTTATTTTTATTTTTCCCTACTGGGCTGTGACTGCAGCGGGAGTGCCTGCCCCATCTGCCTTGTGTAGGGAGGCTCTTTACGGTATGCTTTCGGGTGGTCTCATGGTGCCCCTTCTCGCAGGACAGATCTGGGCCTGCTGATCCCCTCTAAGGCGGGACCGACCTGGGAGGAAGGTGGCCTCAAAGACGTGGATGTGCTGAAAAGAAAGGCCAGAGCTTGAGCACAGAGAGGCAGTGGCACACCTTGGACCTGGCCGGCCTCTGCCCTCTTCCATCACTCTTTGGCCTCCACATGCGGGGCACTGTCCCACCCTTTCAGCTGATTTGCCATTCGGTTTTGTTTTTTTTTTTTTTTTTTGAGACAGAGTCTCGCCTTGTTGCCCAGGCTAGAGTGAGTGCCGTGGCATCAGCCTAGCTCACAGCAACCTCAAACTTCTGGGCTCAAGCGATCCTTCTGTCTCAGCCTCCCAAGTAGCTGGGACTACAGGCATGCGCCACCATGCCCAGCTTTTTTCTATATATATTAGTTGGCCAATTAATTTCTTTCTATTTTATGGTAGAGACGGGGTCTCACTCTTGCTCAGGCTGGTTTTGAACTCCTGAGCTCAAACAATCCACCTGCCTCGGCCTCCCAGAGTGCTAGGATTACAGGCGTGAGCCACCTCGCCCAGCCTGCCATTCGGTTTTAAAAACTGCTAAATAATTGCACAGCCAGTGGAGTGGTTGTCACACTGAGATTCTGGGTGCACTGTCCCATTTCCATTTGGAGTTGTCCAAAAAATTATACAAATACCTGATCAACAGTCCTCATTCACGTAGGAGGACCCCACTTGCTGTTTTATGTTTTACATGTGGCTTTACAGGTACAGAAGGCTGACACCGAGGGAAAATTCGAAAAGTGACAATGCCTCCAGTCTGAGGCAGAGAAACATGTCAAATACCTGAACTCCCAGCCTTGTCCTGAAATACTATAATTCTAATACTATAGAATACTATAATTTGAATACTATAATTCGAACCTTCAAACACTGAAGCGCAAACGGGTGCAGTCAAGCCATCCTAATGCTCCTTCTCAAACATGTAGCTCCAAGCCTGTTGGGTTTGGAATCCATTCAGTTTGTGTTTTTGCCAAGAGTTTTGTGGGTGAAAAGTTTAAAAATAGCTGTGTACACGTAGGATGTCTGTAGGGGAGTGTGGGTAAATCCTAAATGGGAAAAAGGTTCTGTAAACAAGTGTCCTCAGTGTTTAACCCCAGATGCCAGCAAAGACAAGAAATATCCCAGGGATCCAGGTAACAGCCTTGGCTTACTCTTGGTCCAAACCAGGGAGCAACTGGATCTACGAGTGGGTATGGATAGAATGACTCAGATATACATCATAGGGGGATTGAAGGCCCAGAAAAAAAAATTAAAGTTTAAAAAGTGGTGAGGAAGGAACAGGAGAGAAAATTCCATATGGACAGGCTAAAAAGGGCAGGACTGTATTCCAGAAGGATGAAGGCAGTAGGATTGGAACCTAGATACAAGGTAAACGGCCGAGGTGAAGGTAAACGCGGGCATCTCAGTAATGGCCTCATGACTTCTCCTCCCTGTGTGTGATTTCTCCCCTGAGACCCTTCAGGATGTTTGGGCTGGATGTCGTGAAACAAGCAGGCTGACCGGGACAGGGGCCTTGGCATGGGAAGGCAAAAATGAAAAGCACACCTGCCAGGCGGCCCACCAGGCCACACTCAGGCAGCCATACGTTCATATCTTACTGATTGAAGTACTATTTTGGGTTAAGGACTAGTTTATAATTTTCCTGGGTAGATAAGCCTTATACCTAAATAATTACAAGTAACCTGTAATTCATCCTGAGTCAGGGACAACCAAGTACTAGTGCATTACGGTGGCAGAGTGGGTTCTCTGCAGGGTGGGCTTCCTGGAGGTGGCAGTGTTTGCACTGGACTTTGGCGGACAGTAGGAGTTGTGGGCAGAGAGGGTGAGTTGGAGAAATAGCCTGAGCTTTGGGCTGCAGGTGGGAAAGCAGAAGGTATGTTTAGTGGAGAGTTGAGAGCTTATTTGGCTGGGGCATAGAATAGTATGTGCTAAGATGGAAAAGGTGACAGGGCCAGGTGGTGAAGGGGCATTGGGACGGGGCATTTTTACTTGGTTGGCAAGAGGGAGCCATGAGAGGGTGCTGGCTGGAGGGTGTGCAAAGCACTTAAAAAAGAATAATTAGGCCGGGCGTGGTGGCTCACGTCTGTAATCCTAGCACTCTGGGAGGCCGAGGCAGAGGATCGCTCAAGGTCAGGAGTCAGAAACCAGCCTGACTGAGCAAGAGTGAGACTCCATCTCTACTAAAAAATAGAAAGAAATTAATTGGCCAACTAAAAATACATAGAAAAAAATTAGCCGGGCATGGTGGTGCATGCCTGTAGTCCCAGCTACTCAGGAGGCTGAGGCAGAAGGATCGCTTGAGCCCAGGAGTGTGAGATTGCTGTGAGCTAGGCTGATGCCACAGCACTGTAGCCTGGGCAACAGAGTGAGACTGTCTCAAAATAATAATAATAATAATAATAATAATAATGATGATGATAATCGGCAGTTGTGTGTAGATGGACAGGAGTGGGCTGATGCTGGGGCCATGAAGAGCAGTTGGGAGTCTATGGCCACAGCCCAAGAGAGTGATGACTTGGCTCATAATGACAGAGGGCATCACTTTCGGGCAACAAAATCAGGGGTGCAAAAAATACATCTGCATTTCCTTTAAATCAAACTAATTCTGACTCAAAGCCATCGTCCTGTGTGTCATCAGGAACTTTCCCTGTAGTCATAATTGGGGACCTCTTCCCCTAAATCAGGACACACCCCAGTCTAGGAGGATCGCATGATAGGTGAGGATGAGGATGGGGCCGCTGGTCTCTCGGGCTGTCCTGCTGACGTCCTCATGGTGCCGGCCTGCAGCGCTCCATGAAGGCAGTTTCTGCACCATGAAGACAGATACTCTTTGAGGTGAAGTGAGTATTTGAATGTCACTTTATAGGGGAGGAAACTGAGTCACAGGAGGTTAAGGAACTTGTTCAGGTGAAGGATTAAGAGACACCTGCTGTAACCACTGGTCTATACCGCCTGTGTAACCGGGGCGGGAGGGGAAGCGAGGAGCAGAAAGACAGAGACCTGGAGAGGACGGGTGAGCAGGAGAGGCCAGATGTGACGTGAAGATGGAGAACACTCGAAGGGGTGAGTTTCTTCAGTTTTATTATCTTTGCCATTTAATTATGAAATTCACCAATGCTTATCATAGAAACTATGTCAAGTTCCAAAAGGAAAATGAAACAGAACCAGTACCACCCATGATTCTACCACTTGGAAGCAAAAGCCATTCTACTTTGACACACATTTTTGCAATCTTTCTCCACATCATCCTACATGGTCAAGGGCATTTTATATATTTCACATTTTATCCTGATTGGGGTCACCCTGCTAGTGAGTGTCAGCGGTGGGATTTGAACTTGGGTATGTGTGACTCTGAAACCCTGTTCCCTTCTACTAGGCTGTCCTGGGCCTTCACTCCCGGTGTCCGAATGTGAATGAAGAGAGAGAAGAAACCATTAACAGAACTGAGGAATTCCAGAGGAGGAGCTGGTCCTTTTTTGTGTATAAGTGTGTGTGGTGGCTTGTGTGGGTTGATCTGGGGGCACAGGGAAACCCAGAATCATGGGTATGTGGCAGGAAGCCGAAATTTAGGTCTAGCACCCAAACACGCGGCCGAATGTGTAAGAGGGGCCAGGGCCAGCACGCGGGACAGGCAAGGAAGGGCAGCACACACCGGGCGGAAAGCTCTGGCATTTACTGAATTTGAGAACAAAGGCCGGGTTAGACCCAGGACAGAACGTGACCAGGCAGCGTTCCCTGGGAGAGTCACCTGTGGTTGGGTCACAGTCTTGAGCCTGCTGCCAGGTGCCCGGGAGTGCTCACCTCCATGGCTGTCACCGGTTCACCTTGTCTGGCAAGGGCAAAGCTGGGCGGAGGGAACGGTCCCCGGCAGCTCCTGGCAAGCGGTGGTGGCAGGGCTGTGAGCTCTGAAACAGACCAAAGGAGCGAGCGGGTCACCGAGGTCTGCAGAACCAGCTCAGGTGATGAACACGGGCCCAGACAGCCACTGAGTTTTACGGCCAAGGAGAATTCCAGAGCTCCTGGCGCGAGGTGATTTAGTTTGTATTGGGCACAGGAGGCTCATTTTGTAGGAAGTAGAACATAACTCTTGGAGTGGAAATAGGATGAGAAGTCTCTTGCTGCACAAGTCAGTTTCCTCTGTTCCGACAGGTTGCATTTTCAGTCTTCAGACTTCTGCCAAGGGCAAAGGCCCTGCAAGGAGATCCATTCTCCTCATTAGTCTCGTGCTTCTGCCCTCATTAGCATCAGACACACCTTACCTGGTAAGTAAGGCGGGATCCTGGGAAGGTAATGGATGGTGTTGGCCTTGGTTGAACTTGGGGCTGGGCCAGCTTCTGAGGCTGAAGTAACCTCATCACCCACCCCTCGCTTTCCAAACTCTACAGAGACCGCCTCTCCTCCAAGTGTTGTCAATATCCATCCTCCAAGGAAGAAAGCCACAGACTTGAACCAAATTAGTCCCTCTACGGAAAAAAATCCCCAATGAAAATCTGAAGAGAAAGTGATTTTACCAGTCTGTACAAGAAAACCTTGGTTTCCTCTGAGGAACTACATCAAGGCAACCTAAAAATTACCACAAAAGAAGACAATGCCTCTAGATTCTTCAATCACAAATGAGAACTGCAAAGTACTCATCTTTCCCTTTTTGCTTTGGCTTCCAGGAAATTCAACCACAGGTGTTACATTTTTCTTTATGGTTGACATATTTGTAGACTCTTTTATTTTTTGGCCCTGCTTCTATATTTGCATGGTCTTATTTCACTGTAATTTAAATTGCCTCAATCTTTTGTAGATATTAACATACACAGTTAAATGTGGATTAATAAATGAAGCGCCTCCCTCCCGTTCATACAGGTGGCGTCTTCTTCAACGAGAAGGGCAGCCGCTCACCCTCCTGGGCACAGCGGCCAGCAGGTGGCACCAAAGCTTCCCCACAGCCAGCATTAAGGATGCAATTTGGCCTGACAGTGCTTCTGTCCAGCGGGCCATTTCTTGGGCTGTGCCACACACATTCAAAAGGCTCCAATCCAAAGTGCTCTGGGTTTAGTTCTAAGAACTGGGCAAAGCTGACCTAAGGAAGCCACAGTGGCTTCTTTCAGATGCTCAGCTGATAAGATCAATACTTCAAATGTTTCCAATGGGTGGGACCACGCCCAATTGGAACCTGCAGTCTGGGTTTCCAAGAAGTGCCAGTTTTCCAAGCAGCCCCAGACAACAGGAGGTGAGACCACATCACAGATTGTCACTGGAGGAGCCTTTTCACCTTCACCAAATGTGACTTCTGCCTGAAATGAATACATCATTCCTAATAGCGAGCACATCACTAGACAACAGTTATCACCACCTCTAAGTCATTGTTAAAAAGACCCAGGTGTGCCGACATCACCATTGATGCTTGCCTCCATTATTCATTCAGAGGAATTGCATCATTTAAAGCTGTTTTGCAAATAGACTTCTATGCCCAAGATTAGAAAAAGGCCTTCAGCAAAAGTTGAAAGAATGTACTTATATACTATTTTTAAATTCAGGTTCTTGACCCCGAAGTGAATCCATTTGTTATGATAATTAAGTGAGAAAAAGTGTTTCCATTGAAAATCTATTTTATGCATGTTATTTTCTCAAGCTTCTGTAGTACCTGATCAATTATATTTCCAGAGAATTGAAGAGGAGTGGACCCCTACGAATGATGAGGTGGCATTTATGTCCAGACTGGACACCTGGGGCATGTGGCCTGGGCAGGGCAGGGGAAGGTACTCAGCTATTCCTACTGCTCTCCTGCAATTCGGACCCAGGGCTCGATGCCAGACCTGCTCAGTGATACTGTCCGGAGGGTTTGGAGAGGGAGAAGCTTTCCAAAGTTGGTTTTATTTGCCCCTAAAAATCTCTTGCAGGAATTCTGAGTCTATTCAGATGCCTCTTAGTCAATGGATTGGAGAATTCATTCACTATAGAAAGTAGCAAGATATCTGCATTGCTCCTGATTTAACTGGGGCTGAAGACACAGGCCAGGAGCTTAAGGGTCGTCCCAACACAAGTCAACATCTGGTCTCACCTGGGTGAGACGGTACAGTTCAACACACTCCACTGTGACTGTCCCCATGCCCTTGGGGACGGGGACTCAAGGAGCAGCCAATACAAAAACCCAATTTATTTGAACGCACCCCCAACTGTGACAAAAGTCTCTGCAGTTGGCTCACTCTGTGCCCCCACCAGTCCCTCTCATGCTCATTTTAACCAATCGAGGTGATCCAAGATGATTTCTGTAGGACTTGATATGACAGTTGGGGACAGACGGGGAAACATTTGCTTTTTAAAGGAGATACTCGGTGGTGTTCAGTGCAGGCCAACGTGGGCCCGTGAGCAGGAATTTGAGGGCTTCTTACTTGGAACAGAGGCAGATAGGGATGGGATGTGACTAGAACAGGGCACTTGCTAATACACCCCCTGGGAACGCTAAGGGGAAACACAAGGCCCGGGACACAAGAGCCTGGGTTCTGTTAAGTGACCAAAACTAGGGCTAAAATCTAGACTTCTTACATCACAGAGCCTAATCTAAAGAAGTAATAATTTATGAGATGACCTCAGTAGGTTTGTGATTGAAAAGTTTATGAACACCTGCAGTGTGCCAGCCTCTGTGACAGGATGATACTCCAGAGGGGTCAGGACCCGCTGGGGAGTGCGAGGAGCCATGGGGAGCGTGCGAGTGGGGGGCCAGGCATGAAAGGGAAGACCGTGGTACATGCATTCTTCTGACTCCTCCTCCAGGGAGTGACTGCACAGGAGCCCCTGACTGTGGCCTGCAGTGGGCTTCCCTTCCCTTCTCCCGTTGTGTGCTGGGGTTGTTTTGCATTTCCTGCTTTCAGATGATGTCTCTGACATCCTGGGGGTCACTCAGTTTGGCAGCCTGGGCTGTGATGAGGGCAGGTCACTGAGAAAGAGCGGGACGGGGGCCCATCCGAGCTGGGCGCTACAGCAAGCTCAGGGCCAGGCGTGTACACTGAAACAAGGGCGGTGATTCAGGATGAAGCCAGAGGCAGCCGTCACTTGGCTGTCGGTCCACTCGCTCGTGCCTCACTGACTTCTGCTACTGCTGGGCTTGTGCCCTGTGCACTGGAGGCTGCGTCCTCGCTTCTGACTTACTGTCTCCTTCTCCCTAATATCAGCACGTTACTTTTCATCATCAGCTATTGAAGCCCCTTACTGTTCTGGGACCTGTAGTTCTGTCATCATTGCTTTGACCTGAGGAGCCCATTTTCATGGCATGACACACCACAGGAGCAGTGGGCTGCAGACTTCGATTGTGTGTTGTTGACTGTGGCTGGGATCTTGAATCAGCCTCAGGCAGCAGTCTAGCCCAAGGGCTGGCAAACTATGACCCTTGAGCCAATTCTGGCCCACCAGCTGTACTTGTAAATAAAGTTTTATTGGAACTCAGCCACACCCACTCATTTACAGTTTACCAACAGCTGCTCTCATGCTATAATAGCAAAGTTGAGTAACTGCAACAGACTATATGACTAGCAAAGCCTAAAATATTTAGCCCTTTCCAGAGAGTTTGCTTACTCCTGGTCCTGAATTAGAAGAGACTATATATTTTTAATTATTTAAATTGGAGCAAATATTACAATTTTTTTTTTTTTTTGAGATAGAGTTTTGCTCTGTTGCTCAGCCTAGAGTGCCATGTGGCAGCCTAGCTCACTGCAATCTTAAACTCCTGGGCTCAAAGGATCCTCCTGCCACAGCATCCTGAGTAGCTGGGACCATAGGCATATGCCACCATGCCCAGCTAATGTTTTTTTTCTATTTTTTAGTAGAGATGGGGTCTCGCTCTTGCTCAGGCTGGTCTCGAACTGATCTCAAGCAATCCTCCCACCTCGGCATCCCAGAGTGGTAGGATTACAGGCGTGAGCCTCTGCACCCTGCCCTGAATATTATAATTCTGAGCCCTGGGAAGTCTAGGATGTTTGGGGCAGGATTTAAGGCCCTCGTTACAAGGATGGCACAGACTTGAGGCTTTAGCTTAAGGCTGGTGAATGTTAACAGCTGCCTGGAGGGCCGTGTTGGAAAGGATTCTATGGCTGCGTCTGGGCTGGTGTGGGCACCTCCAGAGAGACGAACAGTTTGCCATGATTAATTTAGGCGAAGGACACGCGACTGGAATGAGCACAGCAAACCCATGCTCTTCTTCCCCAAAGGCAAATGGTATCTGGGGACAGCTTGACATTCCCCCCGTGCCAGCACTTGGCACTGCGGAGGTTGGAGTTGTAAACATACCCTTACTGGGGTGGGAGGGAGTGAGATTCAAATACCATTCACACGCGCGACAGAAGCAGACAACAGGAAACGCCAAGGTCATCAGGCTCCGCTCCAGCTTTAATTAGAGCTCCCAGTGCAGTCACGTAAGGCTAGCAGGGCACTAGTGTTTGTTCAGGAGAGCTTTTCCTGTAAAGTTTTCTGTTTTGGGGAGGGAGGCATTTATTAATCTGTGCAATCAAAATGCCAGCAAAATGGTCACAATTATTTTTAAATGTAAAACATACAATGTATGACCATGCATGTTCACTGCAGAAAACAGATCCAATGTGGCTCCTGTCATATATATATATATATATATATCCCTTGGACTGTGGTTTTCAAAGTTGAATAATCTTAAGACATCCTACCCATTATGTCTAGTTAGCTTGTAATTCTGTAACTCCAGCAAACGATTCTTCCTCAATGATCCAAATAAATTCAGGTAGTGGAGTGGTCTCCTAGAGCCGCTCATCCATTCCAGTGAATGTTGAAAACGGATATGTAAATTGAGTTTTTGGAACTCAAGTTACATTTTAAATACACCAAGAGTCTGTTACTCATGCTAAATCCTTAAAAAGCACATTAACCACTTTTGTGTACATCCAGAGTT